TAAAGAAAAAAATTTCAAATGGCATTTAGAGGCTTTTGCATCTGAACTCTTCATATATATATATATATATATATATATATATCCTATATGTAAATGTTGGTTAATTATTAGACAATTTTGTACCACACAAATAGGTAACAGGAATGCTCATCAAGGTTGCATTTAAAAATAGAGGGAAAAAAGCCGCAGAATATTGTGAAATATTTGTTACTATTTAAAATAATGGTTTTCTATTTTAATATACTTTAAAATATAATTTAATTATGTGATGCAAAGCTTAATTTTCAGAATCCTTACTCCAGTGTCACATCACATTATCCTTCAGAGATCATCTTTTAGTTTGCCGATTTGTTTCTTAATGTTGAAACAGTTTTAGCTACTTAATATATATATATATATTTATTTATAACATGTGATTGCTTTTCTTCAGGATTTTTTGATAAATAAATAACTTAAAGAACAGAATTTATTTAAAATAGAAAAGAGACCTCTTTCAAAACAGCAATAACAAAAATAGTAATGTTTCCAAATGGTACTGTATGTGTGGTGTGTGTGTGTATATATATATATATATATATATATATATATATATATATATAGTAATTAAGCTGTTTTATTTCTGTGATGTTTTTTTTTTTAAATTCCATAGCTAATTATATATCAACTCTATTATATTAAGTGTTTAAAATCCTCATTTTGAGATTTTTTTTGCGAACGTGTTAATCGTCAAAACAGATTGTTTTTATTATTATATTCAGTTGTCTTAACCATGATCTGTTTTGTTAACCATTTTCTGTATCGTTTTCTCCTTCAAGCTGTGAAGAGGCTCAGAGAAGCTGCCAACTCCAATGATATTTGACACGGGTGAGAGTCATCAGCGTGACAGTAGTGGAACACACTTGATGCTAAGATTTGATCTACAGTGAGATTAAAAGTCTGTTCCCTTTTTTTTTTCCTTCTAGTTCGTAGATTGCTGGAAGATGATACTGATCCTTGTGCTGCTGATGACAAGGGCAGGACGGCCTTACCACTTCTCTTCCTGCAATGGCAACGAGAGTATTGGTAAGATCAGACAAAACTGATTAATATTAAGGATAATTCACCCAAAAAATTAATTGATGTCATCATTTACTCCCCCTCATGTCATTCGAAACTTTCGTTAATCTTAAGACTTTCGTTAATATTCGAAACAAGCCTCCCTTGGTATATCAACCAATTCTCACAGAGACGTAAATGACCAGATATTAGTTTAAATGTTTACTACCTTAAATGATGGAGGGTATTGACTAACCGTTTATATGATGATGGCAAGAGATAATGAATATTTGATCGCAAACAAATACCAAGATAACGTTCGAACAGCAGTTACAAATTAAAACATTTGTGTTTGTTCTGGTAATTGGGAAAGTAATTGACTGGGTGAGTAAAATTATTTTTTTAAGCGCTCTGTCTAATGGCGCTTTTCTATTACCAGTACCAGATCGACTTGCCTCGCTTTTCTCTCCGATGTTAACTGGTCATGGAAGCATGAAAATCTATTCTAATGAACCCCCTAACACAAATTAAGACTTTGTAAAAGATCATAATAGGTCCTCTTTAAACATTTTCCATTTTCTCTTTCCATCTCCACTTTTAACAATGTAGTTCAGTTGTTGCTGAGTTATGGTGCTGACCCAAACCAGAGAGACAGCCTCGGAAACACACCACTGCATCTGGGTAAGAATGTGCATTAGCAAATTTGTTTGGTACATATTTATTTGCATAATCATGTATAATTAAATATATATTCAAAGCTGTAAGAAAGAAGCTTACTGTGACTTAAATTGCCTTTTACAGCTGCCTGCACCAACCATGTGCCTGTCATCACTACCTTACTGCGAGGAGGTACGATTGATCGTCTATGACGGAAAAACAAATGGATCTAAATCTTATTCATCCGACATCTTTCTGATATTTCTTAACAAATTCGTAATAAATGTTCATTATGAACGTTCCCTTAGGTGCCCGTGTTGATGCTCTGGACCGTGCTGGACGGACTCCTCTTCATCTTGCCCGTTCAAAGCTCAACATTTTACAAGAGGGAGACTCCCGTAGTCTAGAAACCCTCAGAGGAGAGGTCACACAGGTCATTAACACACAACTTTTGTTGATAATATACTCACCCCCATGTCATCCAAGATGTCCATGTCTTTCTTTCTTCAGTCGAAAAGAAATGAAGGTTTTGATGAAAACATTCCAGGATTTTTTTCCATATAATGGACTTCAGTGGGAACCAAACAGTTCAAGGTCCAAAAGACAGTTTCAGTGCAAACTGTTCAAAGGGCTTTAAACGATTTCAGACAGTGAATAAGGGTCTTATCAAGTGAAATGATCGCTCATTTAAAAAAAATAATAACAAAGTTTAAGTTTTATAAGCTCAAATGCTCGCCTTGCTTTGTTCTGTGATGCACGTTCGTGACTCTCCTGTTCGAACTCGTTCATCAAAACGAACAAATCTTTTTCCGAAGTCAATTCGTTCATTTTGTTTGTTGAATGAACCAAATGACACAAAAAAAGATTCGTTCATTTTGATAAATGAGTTTGATAAACAAGTTCAAAACTTTATTATGTAATACATTAAAGTTTTTTTAAAAGTGAACTACTCCTTTAAAGTGAAGCATTTACGAAGAACCGAACCGCTCTGAGACACTGAAAACACCCGATCACAGTGCTTTGCTTCACTCTGAAACACGCAGCGCCAGTGCTGCTCCTACACTTCTGGGGGCCGCCCCGTCCAAATGATTTTTCCAAATGCATGATTCAATAACTAAAGCATGATAAATATAGTTTACCCAAGAAAGCCTAAGTAAACATACGTAAATACGTCAATAAATATCTAAATGTAGGCCTACTAACTTTAGACTCGTGGGCATTGCTTTTAAAGCACTTGACAGAACTCACAGGAATGTGTTTTTCTTATACATTAAACCACGCACAAGAACGTTTTGATTATTGATGTATACTACTGGCACAAACTGAAAATTACATTTCATCATGGGGTGTTTCTAACGATACACAAATATAATATTGATATCTAATATTGAACCTGGAGATCTGGATTTGAGCATTGTTGTTTTATGAATTTATTGGTTTGTCAAGGTTAAAAATGCTTTTTTGTAACATTTTAAAATCTTACGTACTTCATTCTTGGCACATGTTATTTCTTTTTTTCTTGCACCAAGACGCATGTAATTTATATGCCACACTGCATGATGTCCAAGTCCAAAACAATACTTAATTAAATACAAGTATTAGAAAAAAGAAATTTCCGCTTGACTCCGCTAAAGTTGAATCACATTTGTATGTTATAAAAAGATATTTTTACATTATAAAGTGATATGTTTAAATACTTTGAGAGCAAGGGGCCCCCTGGTGGTTTGGGGGCCCTACAGACCTTGTATAATTTGTTTATAGGGAGGACTGGCACTGCGCAGCACATATATTTATTTAACAAAATCACATTTGATTATGGTGCTAAGCCATATTGTGATTTTGGTTTAATTTTGATTCTTCTTGAAGTCTTGTGTGTAATTGTAATGACTACATGGCAAAAAATAATGTTAATTAATATTAATGTGCCAGACTAAGGTTTCGAATATGTACATAATATAATTATACTAGGCTCCTGTTGTACTGTACATGCTTGTATGTGCTATATTGGAAGATGAACCAATGATCTCTGAATATGTCTGTAGATCATTCAAATGCTGCGGGAATATCTGAATATAATGGGACAGAGTGAGGAGAGAGAGAAACTAGAGCACATCTCAAACCAGCTGCAGAACACCCGCACCAGACAGCAGGTACAGCTCACACACATCTAAGATAGAGCGCATGTACTCAGAATAAGGTGCTGATATATTGTGCATCTGCGTAATCCTTTTAAGTACCGTACTCTGTCTTTGATATCATTGTATCTTTGGGACATTGTAATTCTTTCATGTGATCCACAGGTGGACGAGGTGACGGACCTACTGGCCAGCTTCACGTCTCTCAGTATTCAGATGCAGAATATAGGAGACAGGTAGAGATGGATGGAAGAAAAGACGTGAGAGGATGGGACAACTGTGGCTTTTGTTTAGAAAATAGTAGAAACTATTTATATATGATGACATGCCTACATGTATTACACAACTGTAATTCCGGTTATTTAAATTCAATTTTGACTGCCTAAATGTATGACACCAACTGTGTATTTCTGGTTATTTAAATTTAATTTTAACTGAGAACACGATGAATTGCCTTTTTATGTTTGTTCCTGGAACAATTCCTTTTCTGTTATGCCTTTATGGTAGCCTATTATGTCACTGTTTACTGTATATCTATTTGAAAGACAGCCAAATAAATTACATAATGTTAAGAGTGTTTGTGGACTCTGTCTTTGATGCAGGGATCTTAGAATATTAAAACTAAAGTATAAGCTGTGAATTTGCATATCGCTTTTATATAGTAATTATCGTTATTTCATACTTTTATTGTCAGTTTTTTGGTTTGTAAAAAAAAAAAGAAAAAAAAAAAGAGGGCTTTCATTGTTGTGATACACTCTCTGGTCTCAAAGTCCCTCCTCCTCATCTTTGGCTGCTTTGTTGTTGACTCCCATCAAAGATGGCGTCGAGCGCCAACTAAACCCACAACCAACCCGAGGTAATATTTCACTGATTTTTGCACAAAACCGATGATTTCTGCATATAACTTACATGCATTCCGTGTCATTTTTGCAGTACTGAAAAAAACCCATAAAATTGCATGGTGAGAACGTTCCGTTAATCGAGTTGTAACCCGATACCGGCCTATGTGCACCGCAGCCGCGGGTCTGCGCGCGCTAGGCGATCCGTCAGAGACGCGCGACACGTCCGCAGCTGCCCGAATACACTTGAGCTGAAACAGGGAAGCGCTGGATCCTGATGAAGCATGGGGAAGGGGGTGTGTGAGTACATTTCTTCAAAAGTAGGCGGGAAATGTTCAATAATGAGTGTTGAAGGAGGCAGATCTTCTCGTTCGTGTTTTTGGGACTCCGGCGAATGCCACTGGAAGCTTGACTAAAGTTGCGGCTGGAGGAAAGCTGATGTGTGTTGCTGAGCCTGATCTGTCACTAATGAGTGTGTGTGCTTTCAGTAGCTCATCTTCAGAGTTTTTTAACACTTCTGGCATGCAACATTGTATTTGAAGAAACCCTTTATCGTAATCAGAAGAATGAGTTTTGTTTTGTTTTCATAGTTTTTCCAGTGATTACTTCCTTACATTTATTTGGTTTTACATCTTTAATATGTTAAGCATCATATCATTGAATTCCGTTTTATTTGTGTAGTAATTGCAAACTTTTGTGGCTTTTAGTCCATAATCAAATGATCTTGTTTACACTTTATTTTTATGCTGTCCCTGTTACAGTGTAATTGTACATGATTTAATTACTGAGCAATATGTTATTAGGGTTAGGGTAGGGTTTGGTTTTGGGTTATTTACATTATGAAATTCTAGCTTTTATTATAGTAAATACATGTAACTTGTGTAACATAGACATATCAAATAAAGTGTTAACAATCAGGGCTGACAACTTTTGAGTTTTGGAGTGGAGTGAGAATTGGGGATGGGGTTTGTATTGATATTGATTGAATTACAGTTCATGGATACTTAATTTGCTTTTCTGAGGTAAATGTAACGTTACGTGACATTGTTTTATCAGCGGTTGAAACACTAATTGAGCGATTACATGAGACATGATACTCTAATGTTCATTCATGTTTATTTTGTGCTTTAAATTGTAGTAAAGCATACACTTTTATTGCTAAAAGACTTAAAAGTGGTAGATTTAGAATACAAGTATTAGACTACACCTGAAGACCAACCGAAAAATACTATATTTATAATCAAATTTCATGCAAAACAATTCTTCAGTTTGACATTTAGACTGCTTCCAAGTAGTGCAGATAACTAGTACATACCAAAGCGCAAGTTTAATGGAAACAGAGTTATTAGTTACCTAAGCTGGAAAGGTCTTTGAAGATAATGCTTTGTTCTGGTCAAGAGTGTTTTTTTGGACTAAGCTTGATGATTTTAATCTGTTTTTGTGCATTAGAGCCACATGACTGACCAGTCCCACCTGAAGAACCAAGAATGACTATGGCCTTTGAGGAGATAAAGAAGAAAGGAATGATGGGTAATGATTGTCAGACAAAAGCATGTTAATTCACTCAAACATATCCATTGAAAACCTACTATGAAACTGCCTTTCTTGTAGATATTTCGGGGATGGAAGGAGAAGTCGGTCTTGTTGCTGGTCGCAGCCAAAGAGAGAAGAGGCGCTCGTATAAAGATCTGTTGAGAGAGGAAGAAGAAATCGCAGCGCAGGTGCTCAAAACCTCCAAGAAACACCACAAGGTAACAGCAGGAAGTTACTGTAACATCCAACATCAAGTTGCATCATATTAAAGCTAGGGTATACGATTTCAAAGATTGTTCATTATTAATATCCTCGTTTAGATGCTGGTTATGGTTATATAGTACAATCCTAACAATATGAATAGAAAAAAGAACGAAAAAAATCCATTCACTCTATTGGCTGTACAGCCGCAGAAAAGTTGACCAATGTAAGCTGTGCGGCCGCACAGCTTATATTGGTCAACTGCTCTCATCCAATCACCAGCTCCACTTGAAACTCTGCCTGGCGCTCGCGTCTCCAACCCAACCGCACCCGCCCCCGCCCCCGCCCCCGCCCCCCTCCGTGCGTGAGCAAACAGCTGAAGACTGTCTATGGTAGCTAGCTAGTAGCGTCAGATCAGCAATGGATAAAGCAATGGATAAAAATATAAACGACAACAGCAAGCGGCCCCTGCTTGCCTCTACTGTAAAGTTTGGACGCAAGAGAAAGTCTGTGGAGGAAAGATCAGAGATTAAAAAGAAATGTAAAGAACGCCGGACTCTAAGTAGGATAAATATAGCGTCCTTCATTGACCATTGTAGAAAGCTTCAGGGAGATCTGGGGCTGAAAACAACGCTGACACGGATGACTTTTTGTTGAGCAGGTAAACATTTATTTATTCTTTTATGGTGTGACGTGTTACGTGGCTTTTTATCAGTTTGACAACTTGCTCATGCTGCCGGTCGGCATTGGAATGTTAGCCGTTTAGCATCGCCGATCGCGGTTCAAAGTAATTATATTTCTTGTTCGAGGTTTCTGTTCGAGCCGATCGGAATTTGAACAAGATGCGCTGCGTGCTGCAATAACAATTACTGAAACCTTAGCGATACTAGTAGTATTATAATGGTGGTGGGGAGTTTAGAACATTTCATGTGTTGCTAATCTTGCGTTGACGTGAACTCAAACGTGACATACGTCAGGGATCAGGTAGCACAGAGGGGAGGGGGGGCGGGATGAGTTTTTAAAAACTTCCCTACCGTCTCGGCCGATTTTTAACATCGTATACCATAGCTTTAACAAGAGGTTGACGAGTCCATTGATTTTACCAGTAAACATGTTCCGTAACTGTGTTGCCTGTTTGTAGGTACTAATGATTTTAATAAAACACGCAACTTGATGTGATGTTACCTAGGTAGATATGACATCTGGTCTGAGAAGGATTTGGACCTGTGTTTTTCCCTCTCAGGGCACTTGTCATTGACTCTTGCTTAGGGATGCTGTGATCACTCGGCTGATACTCACTTCTTATAACTTGCAACTTGTCTGATCGAATAAACTGACAAAAAGCCTTCGATTTTCCATTTCTGCCCTCAGCGTCACTTCCTGTCATCACCTGCGCGATAGTATTAAAAGTGTTGAGAAAAGAGGAAAAATGTATGTGCTGCCCTCGGTCTTCCTCAAGTGTACGTAAAATAATAATAATGTTGGTTACAAACTGGGATACAATTCACAGATCTTTATTAAAACACTCCTATAAGAGTAGCATCTGATTTCCTTGTTAAAGAGTTAGTTTACTACCTTGAAAGTGTTAGTTGCGTAATGTTATGTATTTTAATATAGATAATATTTTGTGTAAGCCTACTTGGTTTTTATTAAGCCTCTTAAAATGTCTTTTTTTTTGGTATATTTTTTAATTCATTAAAGTTACACTATGTAACTTTTTTGTTCAAAATTAACAACATTTAAAAAATGAGTCAATACATCGTCAATCCTTATCCCAAAACACGTTTTGTCTTACCCTGATTCACTGTGGTAAGTCTATTATAAGTTTATATATTAGACCAGGCTGGATGGTTTTTCGCTGGAAGTTTCTCCGGTTACTTTGACGCGTGTATGGTGTGTGAGTGGAAAGGTTAGTTGGCACAGCGAGCGAGAATGGTGAACATGGAGCAGCTAAATCACCAACTTTTTTAAAAATCACCCGTTTAATCACTGAATCACCCGCTTAAAAATAAAACTCTGAAGAGAGGAAAGTCAGCTAGCAAAAAGTGAACTCTACAGAGCTCGTAATAAAACAAGAATCAACATTGACTTTGCTTTTCAGAGATGGAGAGAACTGAGGGATTTGAAATGTTGTAAATGTGAAGATGGTGTTTTTATTACTCAATGTGTGAATAAGGTATTTTATTCAACAGATAAATTGCTATATGTAGTTTTCTAACAGAGTTCATTGTAAAGCATTGTCTATTTTGAAGGATCATATTCATCCTCACAATCACGCAGAGCCGAACCACAACAATGTTCTTCAGCAAAATGTATGCAGTTTTGTCTTTCAACCACTATTGCCACAAAAGTTACAGTACATTGGGAATCTGCATGCCGATTTAGATAACAGTTATCAGTAATTATATTATCTGTAAAACCCTGATCAGAGCATCCCTACTCAGAGCATTCCCATTTTAGTTGTAGTATTAGATCAGTAACCATATGTGGATTGTTTCCTCACTGATATTATCTTTGTGGTACATATCATGCCTGTTTCAACATGCACTGTTGTCTTTTAGGATTCTGACCTTTTCCTATTAGGAGGAGATTCTCACAAGAAAAAAAAGAAGCACTTGAGTGATGACTACTATCACAGAGGTGAGGAGTTTTGTCTTGTTTTATAGGCAGCATTTTTAAAAGTGCTCCAGAGCTTCTTGCTAGTGTTGTAAATGAAACCAAGCCTCTAAAGCTACAGAAACATTATTAAAACATTCTTCATGGGCTGCCACTCAGTTAATGGCTTCTCATGTGTACTATGCAAATAGTGCACAAAGTTGAATGTTGTTCATTGATTCCAGTAGTCTTACGTTAGCATATTTGTTTTCTAAGCACAAAAAAATAAACAGCCAACACAAAATTGGGTGAAATAGTTCATTTTATTCCTTTTTTATTTTTATATTACGTTTAAATTTGATATTTTTGTTTCTATATTATTATGTTTTATATTAGCTGCTTTTTATAAGTTAAAATATATGAATAATCTAATATTACGTAAATGTTTGTTGTTAAATAATTTTTAAATTACATCAAAAATATCAATAATTATTATTATATGTAATAACTATGTATAAAATTGTAATCATTTTATAAAATGAACACATTTACTATTATCACTGCCATAGGTGCAGATTTCTGTTTCCGTATGAATACTTGATGAATACTTTTACCTACTTGATGAATACTTGTGTACTGAGGTGTCTCTCGTAAGTAGAAACATATGGACCGCAAATACATTACCAACCAGGCAAAAACACAAATTCCAATAATTTTGTTGCCAGTCACTCTTGCGCTGTTACTCCGGATGATTTTGGTGTTAATTACTTAAATTTATTCAATTTATCATTGCGAAAAAACAGAATATAATGCATAAGAATATAACGCAGCTTTAAAATAGTTTCTAAACTCTCCCCACAGACCATCACAGCTCTGGTCAGCCGCCCCACAAGAAGAAGCGCAAGTCTTCAGATCACTCGCTCTCCCTCTCCTCCTCGTCCTCCTCTCACCCGTCCCACTCCACAGACACAGCCATGGGCCTCCTGGAGGCCATTACCTCCCCGCTGGCAACGGGCACCGACCCCACCCCGCACTTCTACAAAAAACCCTCCTACCCTCCCCACGCCTCCTCGCACTCCTCCAAAGACCGCAAACAGGACAGCGGCTCTAAAAGCAGCCATTCCTTCTCGCACTCGCGTCCGCCCGGCTCGTCCTCGTCTAAAAAGCATTCGTCCTCCTCAAAGTCACTGCTGTTCCACGGAGGAGCTGGAAAAGGAGAGCCGTTGACGCTCTGTGATGCTGAAGGACTGAAGATGAAGCTCATCCTTTCTTCAAAAGAGAAGAACGAAGGTGTCGGGACGAACGAGGGATTCTCCTTCCCGGTCCATTCTTCTTCCTCTTCGGGTGTGGTAGGCCATCATTCGTCCTCCAGCTCGAAGAAAGGAGGGATGAAGAAAGAGAAAGACAAAGACAAAATGATGCCGAAGCCACCCAAGAAAAAGCAGCACAGCCGAGAGCCGCTGCCTGTTGTGGGGAAAGAGGTGGAGGTCGTGGGTGAGTGGGGAATTACACTTTTCAGGTCTACTGATGTAATTGGGGGATCTTTAAAGAAAACCATCAATGTATTGCTTCATTAAATAAAATTGTATTTATTCATATAATAATAATATTTGAATAATAACCATTTATTTTAAGTGAGAAATGTGTAGACAAAACAAAGATATACACTAGTGATTAAAAGTTGTGGGTCAGTAAGGTTTGTTTTTGGAAAAAGAAACATTCTTATATTCGGCAAGATTGCATTAAATTGATCAAGTGACAGTAAAACATATTTTGAACTTTCTATTAATCAAAGAATCCTGTTTTTAACATTGATAATAATAATAATCAATGTTTATTGAGCACAAAATCATCACATCAGAATGATTTGTGAAAGATCATGTGACACTGAAGATGCTGAAAACTCAGCTTTGATCATAGGAGTAAATTATATTTTAAAATATATTCAAATAGTCAACCGATATTTTAAATTGTAATAACATTTCACAATATTAGTGTTTTTTACTGTATGATTGATCAAATAAATGCAAATTTAAAGAAAATAAAAAAGCCATAGATTTTATTATTGTATATTAAAAAAAATGTTTATTCTGGTTATATATTTATTATAGCGTCAAAAAAACAAACCTAAACAAATATTGAAACACAATCTGTGTCAGTATCAGTCATAAAAAGTCAATACTGGTCAATCTTTACTTATGGTGTCTATATAATGACAAACTTTCAACATCCAATTGTTCAAAATCTCTAAAGAACAAAGAAATGAAACACTCACCGACACTAAGCAATCATTTTTCTGTTTGTATTCATCAGGTCATTACGGAGGCATGGGTGGAGACAGCTCATCTTCAGGAGGAGAACTAGAGGCCGGCGAGCTGGTGATTGATGACTCGTACACACATCTTTCAAAAAAGAAGAAAAAGAGCAAGAAGAGCAAAAAGAAAAAGGATAGAGAGCGAGACAGAGAGAAAGGATCCAGGGAGAAGAAACACAGCAAAGGAAGTGGAGGGAAGAAAAGCTGTCCAGGTGAGACACATTTTACTTTCTTTAAGGCAAGACAACCCAGGTGAATTGGGTAAAACATTGAATTAATATATAGTTGATTGATTAGACCAATGATTGATTACATTAAGAACTGCAACCACTCTGGTTACACTGAATCTGATTTTACTGAATTTAAACTTGTCTCTCTCTGTTAAGCAGTTGATCAGTCTAGAAGCCACTCCCATACACACAGCTCATCCAATCACAGCTCTGCCGGTGGTGTGTACGCTATGGCTCCACCCACCTCATCCCATCACCATCAAAGCATTGAACTAATGGGTGAGAAGAAGAAGAAGAAGGACGAAAAGGAGAAAGAGAAGCATGACAAGGACAAGGTACATTAAAACTCTTTCTCACACCTTGAGGTTTGATTTTTCCAGTAATTTTAATGTTCTGTCATTCATCGTGTCAGCCGAAGAAGAAGAACATGACGGCCTATCAGGTGTTCTGTAAAGAGTACAGGGTCAATATCAACGCAGAGCAGCCTGGATTAGGTGAGTGCTGTTGTTCTCTGCACCTGATCTGTCAATCATCTGTGCTGTTTCGTGATTGGTTGAATTTGTTCTTTTTCCGCCTCAGTCTTCGGGGAGCTGAGTAAGAAACTCGCAGAGGTGTGGAAACAGCTGCCTGAAAAAGACAAACTGGTCAGCACCTTTTACCTTTACTTTTATAGGTTTCAAATTAAAAAAGTGACTTATTTTCGTGCATTGTGTGTATTATTGTGTCTTTAGAATCTTTTATCAAAATGTAACTCCTTTTCCACTGGTTAATGTTAACTAATGGTCATTTAGTCATTGGTTTAGGCTATTGTAATGGAAAAATTATAATGTTTTTTTTTATATATATATGTAATGCTGGTTAATGCTCATAAAGAGGCCAGAGTAATTTTAGTATTATTTATATGCTATTAATATTTAAAATTAGCTTATTTTTCGATTTTTGGTTGAAATTTCTTTTATTTTACGTTTTAGTAATTGTATGTGCTTTTCTTATTTTTTTTATTATTAACATTTAGCTTTAAATTATTTTATCATTAAACTTATTTTATTTTATTTTAATATATTTTAGTACATCAGCTTAAACTTACTTTGTCCAGGCAGCATTTCAAAACATTTAGCAAAATTTTTCAATATTTTTCATCTAATATTTATATTTTATTTCATCGTTATTTCAATTACCGAAAACTATTTTTAATAGTTTTAGTTAACAATAACAAAATTGAAAGTAGCGAGTAATTTGTCACATCTTGACATGATTTGAAGAAAATAACAAGTAAAATGGGTTGTTTTATGTTGGCTTTAAACACTTAATGGCAGCATTTTGTAATTTCAGTCAAATGTGGGACAGTGTTGCATATCCTCTCTTTCTGTCCTCTTTCTGACACTGAAGGTGTGGAGACAGAAAGCTCAATATCTCCAGCACAAGCAGAATAAAGCTGAAGCTATGACGGTCAAGCGGAAAACCTTAACAACCTCAGACAGTAAAAGTAAAGGTGAGACCAAAGCTTTTTCTCAGTTAACTGTCTTACACATTTCATTTTTCCGCATGTATCAACATATTTCTTGAGCCCTTTCTGTGTATCTGCTTATCTCAGGCTCCAGTAAAGGTGTCAGTTTAGGAGCAGGATTGGCCCCTCAGGGCCGCTCGTCTCTGGGTATGTCGTTGTCTCCGGTGCGGGTGCCTGATGTGGACCCCATAGATGCAGCAGCTCACCTTCAGCTTTTGGGCGAGTCGCTGTCTCTGATTGGACACCGACTTCAGGAAACGGAGGTTTGTGTCACAAAAATGTTTCTTTTAATCCTTCCTTTTCACCTAATTCGCTAACAGACCTATCACAGATCACTGTCAGTGCGTTTGATTTCACCGGTAGAAACTTTTTGAAAATATGGACGAAGGTACTGAATACGCAGATGGATGCATTATGGATAGGGTTTGGTACCGAAACGCGGTGCCAATAGGGAACCGTTCCGACGTAACCAGTAAAAACCAGACCGAATAAGAACGAAAATTTCAGTGCCTGAGTCTCTGTGTCATGAGGCACACACACTCACAGGGATCTTGTACAGTCCATGCCGGTTCTGTTTTGGCAACACAAGGAGGACTAACATTCATATTAGGGAGGTGTTCATAATGTTTTGTCTCATCAGTTTCGATCATCTTCATAAACGTCTCTGTTCGTCCTGCAGGGGATGGTGGCGGTGTCTGGCAGTCTTTCGGTTCTGTTAGACTCTATTTTATGTGCTCTTGGTCCATTAACCTGCCTGACAGCACAAGTTCCTCAGCTCAACGGCTGTCCACGCAACGTCCTGGTGAGACACACTTTCACACATTCCAGTTTTTTTATTATGGGCTCCCCAACAATTCACTTGTTTTCTACAAAATCTTTACAAAAGATTCTTATTTGCGAATCAAATGCACAGTTTATGATTTCAACTCTTAATTTTTTTTGCAGTCAAACACTTTGGACAACATTGCTTACATAATGCCTGGACTATGAATCTCTTAAAAAGCACTTAAAGAGACTGGGTTACATTTGGACATATTCCTAGAAGCAACAAACGGAGGACCAGAGTTGTTTTTTTTTTTACTTTTTCTGATCAATGGACATTCTTAATCTCAAACATTTTAAATACAATTTTTAGAAAAATGTCAGTCATTTTTTTACTGTTGTTAGAAAAAAAAAAATCCTTTTTTAGAGGGCACTTTTGAAGTTTCCCTTTTGTGTTTGTGTTGGCGTCTCAAAATGTCAAGGTCTGTTTAAAGATGTGTTTGTGAGTATATGTGATCAAATTCACATGCTTTTTATGTTTTATACAAATATGTGCAGTTTAGTTTTATGGCCCAATGTTGTTGTTTTTCTAATTTAACATTGACTTAATTTATATCAACTGCAGTTTAACTGTGCTATCATCATTTCATGTCTTACATATTGTATTTTTGTATTGTGAATGTTGTAATAATATACTGGGGTTGGACAATGAAAGTGAATTATTATTGTGGTGTAGGGCCTCCTTTTGCAGCTAATACAGCATCAGTTAATCTTAGGAATGACAGACGCTAGTCCTTCACAGTGGCCAGAGGGATTTTGAGGCATTCCTCTTCCAGACAGTGGCCAGGTCTCAATGTGATGTTGCTGGATGAAAACGTTTTCTGACTTTCTCCTCCAAAATTCCCCAAAGTGACTTTAAATATTTAGATCTGAAGACTGTGCAGGCCATTGGAGATTTTCAACTTCACTTTTATGTTCGTCAAACCATTCTGTCACCAGTCTTGCTGTGTTTGTAGGTGCATTATTATGCTGATACACGGCACCCCCTTCGTCCTCCAGAATGTTTCGTCAGTCCTTGTCAGTGATGCGTCCATCAGGCACAGTAGGTTGCAATATTTTATGTACAGCTGTGCTATTGCTCTGCTAATTAAGTGAAGATTGGTCATCAGGCCTCGCGTATACAGACAGACATGCAACCTCCAACACTATATTGGCCAGTGTTTCAGTTTCATTGTCCAACACCTGTAGTTTTCAAGGTTTGGCACGTTTACAGGACAAGCATGCATAAAATCATTTTAAAGGTGGACTAAGTCTTTTTTTTCTTTTAGAATTGTTTTATACCTTAAGAAACCATAGCTCATTTCACTATTTTTTTTTATAATAATGTACACTTATATGACATGAAGACCCCAGTCATATCAGTGGGCCCCACAGCATGGTAGCCTTCATTTTGAAATCGCATGATCAGATGAAAACTTATCACATCTTGCTAACCTGCCAATTATAGCTCACTTTCGGTTGCTGAACAACTTAATCAAATAAGCCTGTGAATATTTTACAGTAGCATCAACTGAAGTGTTGCTTGATGGGTATCAGTTGCCATAAAATAATTACTTGATGCATCAACGGTTTAGTTCACCTTTAAAGTGATTGTTGATAGTTTTAGAAGATGGAAAAATAAGTAAAATATATTTGCATTGATATATGTGCATTTTGCATTGACTTATTTCCATTAAATCTAAAACTAATCTAAAAAAGTGGGTTTGCTGTTATAAAATATTTTTATAAATGACTTTTCCTGATGTGTGTCATACGTTGGCCTCCAAAAAATATTTGGATGTACTGTGCCAGTCGAAAGTTTGGAAACATTAAAGTTTTTTTTTTTCTCTTAATGTCACCTAGGCTGATTTATTTGATCTAAAATACTGTAAAAAAACAAACAAAAAAAACTTAAGAGTAAGTACATTCTTGTACTTTTTCCTTTAAACTCTTTTCCATAAAAGGGATAGTTCACCGAAAAATGAAAATTCTGTCATTATTTAATCACCATGTTGTTACAAACATGTAGGGCTGGGTATCGATTCACATATTCGATTCGATTTCGGTTCGCAAGCTCTCAGTTCGATTCGATTTTCGATTTCGATTCCTGATTTGATTCTCGATTAAACTATAATGAATATGGATGTAATACAAATCCTATATTTATAAAAAAAAAAAGAACAGGACATAAATTTACTAGTTGGTTAATTAATACAAAGAAATTAAGAGCCACAAACCTGTATTTAAAAATCTTTTTATTTTAGGTACACTATACACTAAATGCATACAATGAATAGACAGGATTTTGATGCAAGATGCAAAATTGATACTGGAAAATGGACAAGTCAGAACAGTCGCACCGCTTGATCAAACAGGATCAGATTTTTTTTATGTTTAAGATAGATATAGATAAATAAATATATAAATATTTAGACATTTTTTTAATTACATTGATCATACCTAAATGTTTGTTTTTACAATGGGGTAATTTTTTGTTAAGAGTTTATGCAACATATGGAAGCTTGATTTCAATCTTTGAATTAAATTGGAAAATAAATACAATAGAATAAAGACACAAATAAATAGACATTTTGGGTAGTTTTTTGGGTATGTCAGAAATACAAACTGAATAAAGTAAATCGTAAATCCAATGTAAAATAACGCTGGGTAGTCTTTTTAGTCTAGACTGAATTAAATACATAGGCTATTAATTCTGATTGCTTACAATTAATGCTATATTATGTTGTTATGACAACAGAATTAATGACAGACACATATGGCTGCGTTCACTTTAAGAACTACCGGTAGTGCACGGATCCATTACTGTCTCAGGTAGATTCTGATAGAGGGCTATGAGACTTAGACCTGAGTGCCAAAATGGAGGCTCTAGACCCTTCCAGAGCTGAGATATTGAGATCCCACGTAGAATTTATGCATTATAAATATCTCAATATCTCAGCTCTGGAAGGGTCTAGAGCCTGCATTTTGGCACTCGGGTCAAAGTCTCATAGCCCTCTATCAGAATCCAGAGTTTCAAGAAGATCGGAGATACTAAAAATTTTGACCGAAAAAAAAAAACGACAGTGTTACCCCTTTCGTTTTTTTTTTTTGGTGCGAAAAAAAAAAGTTTCTCCAATCTTCTCAAAACTCTGGATTATGATAGAGGGCTGTGAGACTTTGACCTGAGTGCAAAAATGGAGGCTCTAGACCCTTCCAGAGCTGAGATATCGAAATTCAAAATTTCGACCCAAAAAAAAAACGACAGTGTTACCCCTTTCGTTTTTTTTCGTTTTTGGGCGAAAAATTAAGTTTCTCCAATCTTCTCAAAACTCTGGATTATGATAGAGGGCTGTGAGACTTTGACCTGAGTGCAAAAATGGAGGCTCTAGACCCTTCCAGAGCTGAGATATCGAAATTCAAAATTTCGACCCGAAAAAAAAACGACAGTGTACCCCTTTCGTTTTTTTTCATTTTGGGGCGAAAAATTAAGTTTCTCCAATCTTCTCAAAACTCTGGATTATGATAGAGGGCTGTGAGACTTTGACCTGAGTGCAAAAATGGAGGCTCTAGACCCTTCCAGAGCTGAGATATCAAAATTCAAAATTTCGACCCGAAAAAAAAACGACAGTGTTACCCCTTTCGTTTTTTTTTTGTTTTTGGGCGAAAAATTAAGTTTCTCCAATCTTCTCAAAACTCTGGATTATGATAGAGGGCTGTGAGACTTTGACCTGAGTGCAAAAATGGAGGCTCTAGACCCTTCCAGAGCTGAGATATCGAAATTCAAAATTTCGACCCGAAAAAAAAACGACAGTGTTACCCCTTTCGTTTTTTTTCGTTTTTGGGCGAAAAATTAAGTTTCTCCAATCTTCTCAAAACTCTGGATTATGATAGAGGGCTGTGAGACTTTGACCTGAGTGCAAAAATGGAGGCTCTAGACCCTTCCAGAGCTGAGATATCGAAATTCAAAATTTCGACCCGAAAAAAAAACGACAGTGTTACCCCTTTCGTTTTTTTTCATTTTTGGGCGAAAAATTAAGTTTCTCCAATCTTCTCAAAACTCTGGATTATGATAGAGGGCTGTGAGACTTTGACCTGAGTGCAAAAATGGAGGCTCTAGACCCTTCCAGAGCTGAGATATCGAAATTCAAAATTTCGACCCGAAAAAAAAACGACAGTGTTACCCCTTTCGTTTTTTTTCGTTTTTGGGCGAAAAATTAAGTTTCTCCAATCTTCTCAAAACTCTGGATTATGATAGAGGGCTGTGAGACTTTGACCTGAGTGCAAAAATGGAGGCTCTAGACCCTTCCAGAGCTGAGATATCGAAATTCAAAATTTCGACCCGAAAAAAAAACGACAGTGTTACCCCTTTCGTTTTTTTTTCATTTTTGGGCGAAAAATTAAGTTTCTCCAATCTTCTCAAAACTCTGGATTATGATAGAGGGCTGTGAGACTTTGACCTGAGTGCAAAAATGGAGGCTCTAGACCCTTCCAGAGCTGAGATATCGAAATTCAAAATTTCGACCCGAAAAAAAAACGACAGTGTTACCCCTTTCGTTTTTTTTCGTTTTTGGGCGAAAAATTAAGTTTCTCCAATCTTCTCAAAACTCTGGATTATGATAGAGGGCTGTGAGACTTTGACCTGAGTGCAAAAATGGAGGCTCTAGACCCTTCCAGAGCTGAGATATCGAAATTCAAAATTTCGACCCGAAAAAAAAACGACAGTGTTACCCCTTTCGTTTTTTTTCATTTTTGGGCGAAAAATTAAGTTTCTCCAATCTTCTCAAAACTCTGGATTATGATAGAGGGCTGTGAGACTTTGACCTGAGTGCAAAAATGGAGGCTCTAGACCCTTCCAGAGCTGAGATATCGAAATTCAAAATTTCGACCCGAAAAAAAAACGACAGTGTTACCCCTTTCGTTTTTTTTCATTTTTGGGCGAAAAATTAAGTTTCTCCAATCTTCTCAAAACTCTGGATTATGATAGAGGGCTGTGAGACTTTGACCTGAGTGCAAAAATGGAGGCTCTAGACCCTTCCAGAGCTGAGATATCGAAATTCAAAATTTCGACCCGAAAAAAAAACGACAGTGTTACCCCTTTCGTTTTTTTTCATTTTTGGGCGAAAAATTAAGTTTCTCCAATCTTCTCAAAACTCTGGATTATGATAGAGGGCTGTGAGACTTTGACCTGAGTGCAAAAATGGAGGCTCTAGACCCTTCCAGAGCTGAGATATCGAAATTCAAAATTTCGACCCGAAAAAAAAACGACAGTGTTACCCCTTTCGTTTTTTTTCATTTTTGGGCGAAAAATTAAGTTTCTCCAATCTTCTCAAAACTCTGGATTATGATAGAGGGCTGTGAGACTTTGACCTGAGTGCAAAAATGGAGGCTCTAGACCCTTCCAGAGCTGAGATATCGAAATTCAAAATTTCGACCCGAAAAAAAAACGACAGTGTTACCCCTTTCGTTTTTTTTCATTTTTGGGCGAAAAATTAAGTTTCTCCAATCTTCTCAAAACTCTGGATTATGATAGAGGGCTGTGAGACTTTGACCTGAGTGCAAAAATGGAGGCTCTAGACCCTTCCAGAGCTGAGATATCGAAATTCAAAATTTCGACCCGAAAAAAAAACGACAGTGTTACCCCTTTCGTTTTTGGGCGAAAAATTAAGTTTCTCCAATCTTCTCAAAACTCTGGATTATGATAGAGGGCTGTGAGACTTTGACCTGAGTGCAAAAATGGAGGCTCTAGACCCTTCCAGAGCTGAGATATCGAAATTCAAAATTTCGACCCGAAAAAAAAACGACAGTGTTACCCCTTTCGTTTTTTTTCATTTTGGGGCGAAAAATTAAGTTTCTCCAATCTTCTCAAAACTCTGGATTATGATAGAGGGCTGTGAGACTTTGACCTGAGTGCAAAAATGGAGGCTCTAGACCCTTCCAGAGCTGAGATATCGAAATTCAAAATTTCGACCCGAAAAAAAAACGACAGTGTTACCCCTTTCGTTTTTTTTCATTTTTGGGCGAAAAATTAAGTTTCTCCAATCTTCTCAAAACTCTGGATTATGATAGAGGGCTGTGAGACTTTGACCTGAGTGCAAAAATGGAGGCTCTAGACCCTTCCAGAGCTGAGATATCGAAATTCAAAATTTCGACCCGAAAAAAAAACGACAGTGTTACCCCTTTCGTTTTTTTTCATTTTTGGGCGAAAAATTAAGTTTCTCCAATCTTCTCAAAACTCTGGATTATGATAGAGGGCTGTGAGACTTTGACCTGAGTGCAAAAATGGAGGCTCTAGACCCTTCCAGAGCTGAGATATCGAAATTCAAAATTTCGACCCGAAAAAAAAACGACAGTGTTACCCCTTTCGTTTTTTTTTTTTGGGCGAAAAATTAAGTTTCTCCAATCTTCTCAAAACTCTGGATTATGATAGAGGGCTGTGAGACTTTGACCTGAGTGCAAAAATGGAGGCTCTAGACCCTTCCAGAGCTGAGATATCGAAATTCAAAATTTCGACCCGAAAAAAAAACGACAGTGTTACCCCTTTCGTTTTTTTTCATTTTTGGGCGAAAAATTAAGTTTCTCCAATCTTCTCAAAACTCTGGATTATGATAGAGGGCTGTGAGACTTTGACCTGAGTGCAAAAATGGAGGCTCTAGACCCTTCCAGAGCTGAGATATCGAAATTCAAAATTTCGACCCGAAAAAAAAACGACAGTGTTACCCCTTTCGTTTTTTTTCATTTTTGGGCGAAAAATTAAGTTTCTCCAATCTTCTCAAAACTCTGGATTATGATAGAGGGCTGTGAGACTTTGACCTGAGTGCAAAAATGGAGGCTCTAGACCCTTCCAGAGCTGAGA